ACCTAGTCCTTCTCGCACGCACGGACGCTGTCTCTCTCACTCTATTGCCCCCTCCGCGCTCTCAAGAAACCAGCATCAACCAAAAGTCTCTCTCAGCGCTTGAAGAGCCGTATCCTTTCTTTGCAATGTTACATTTCTCTAAGCATCAGTCCTTACCCCTGGCCCACCCACACTTAGTCCTTCTCGCACGCACGGACGCTGTCTCTCTCACTCTATTGCCCCCTCCGCGCTCTCAAGAAACCAGCATCACCCGAAAGTCTCTCTCAGCGCTTGAAGAGCTGTATCCTTTCTTTGCAATGTTACATTTCTCTAAGCATCAGTCCTTACCCCTGCCCCCCCCCCTCTCCCCTCCGACCCATGCTGCGACGCCTGTGCCAGGACGCCACCGCACCGCCAACCGCGCCCGGCTGGGGCCCAAGAACTGTATCCTTTATTCCAACCTCACTATCTACAGTCACCTCTACGCGCCACCGACCCGCAGCTCCCCTAAGGACGGACCCACGCAACCACCCATACCGAGGAGCACCTGTGGCCAAAAGCCGAAGAACCGGAGGGGTTGTCGCTCGGCGGAGACTACAGTGAAGGGCCACTACCCAAAGAAGACTCCGGGAATATGAAGCTTCAACATGCGCCGCGGCTACGCCGCGACGCCCCCAGGACGCTGGTCGCTGGTCGCAGCTCTACCGCGTTTAGATAGAGCCTGGCTCCAATGTGGCGAGCGGAACGTGTGGGAACGTTCTGTCTTTACACCTGGAGGCACGCAAGTAGCGGGGTTGCTCGTATACCCACGTGAAAACCACAGGTCTATGGAGACCTACGGTATCAAAGTGAAGTGAAGTGTGACTCGGCTTGTCTCGGCCGTGCGGCGACGGAAATCGAGCCTCACTCCACTGCCTCAGCCTCACTATCCCGCCTACCACAATATATTATTTTGCTGGCCCTTCTCTCGCTTCTCTGTCCTTACCGAGAGTAAAAGCAATGACACCCTACTTAAATATACTTATGTTTACTTATGTTTAGTTTCATTTAAGCAAGGTTTGTAAGGTATCATCTGCTAAAAATGTTGCCTACCTGCGTTCTAAGGGAGTGGACCTTAAGCGCGCCGCGGCGTCACTGTCCACATGACATCTAAAGCAACGCGACGTGCTCGTACGTGTGACAACCCTGCGCCCTGCCGGAGCATCGCCCATGTCCGGCTGGGTGGGCGGACCCTCCTATATTGAAGTAACAGATCCTGCAAAACGACGGCTCCTTGCAAAAGCATACGTTCTGTACGGTACGCGTCTATACCATACGATCTATACGGTACGTCTCTAAAACATACTACCTGTTTTCGGCGGTTCTCGCTAGCATATTTTCGGCAGCCGTTTGGGAATGGAAGAAAGTTATTAAACATTCATTTCTCGGTATCAGGGGTGTATATCACAGGACCTACTTATTTTTGACCTACTCGCCTTTTGGCAAGGTGGTGTAAGCATAGTCCCGTGAGCTGCCCTCAGTGGGTCAGGCTGATTCTCCGGGAGTGGGCTTCCCTTTGTGCGAGGGAAAACACTCGCCGAAAATCTGACCTACCTCAGGAGTTTTTCCAGTGCTCTGGCAGCTCTGGCATTTCGGAAGGTATTTTGTTTTCTGAGGTTTCTGAGATAAAATTGAGAACATGTGAACGATTATATTACATTGAGAACAAATCACGTTCTTACTACACCCAAACATTCTGAGGCGTTGCATAGAACAAGCTTCTTATTTTCCACACCATTATTTTGGTGTTTACATTCTCCCTTGTTTATTTACTAATCTCAGCCATTGCTTTGTTACTCAGATTCTTCCCTTGGCATATGCTCTGATGGAGTCACGTACTGAAATGGCTTACCGTGATCTTTTCACTTTTGTGAGGCGTGTCGTTCCAGAGCTTGACCCTGACTACTTCATGACCGACTTTGAGGTGGCCCAGCAGAATGCCATTTCTGAAGTATTCCCTCGGGTCCGCCTAAGTGGTTGCCTGTGGCATTTCTCACGTGCAATATGCCGCAACGTTAGAGCTCTTGGGTTGCACGATTTAGTTAGAGATAGTGATAATGCTAGGAGGGTTGTTCGACTTTGTCTCGCTATACCACTGGCCCCACCAGGTCAGCTCTACGATGCACTGAATACAGTGGTGATAGAAGCCCGAAGACTGAACCTGCATGACCGTTTCGTGGACCTGTTCAACTACCTACGTGCTACTTGGCTCGAAGGCATAGGACAGAGAATCCTGTGTGTCTTCGGAGTTAGACACCGCACCAACAACGTTGCAGAGGCGCACCACCTCAACCTAAACTCGAGGATCGTCCGAAGACCTAATGTGTGGCGGTTCATTGGTACATAATAATTGAACTGCATTTTTAGTAGAGATTTGGTGCAGCAGACATACTTAATGTAGTAAGTGGAATGCCTTTTGTGTTTTAGAAATGCTTCGTGAGATGGAGGACATTGCCTGGAGGAACCTGGGGGCGTCTGGAGACTGGCCTGGCACCAAGTCGTGCTAGGCGCGTCTCTAGTCTCCTCAGTGATGCTCGTATCAGGTCGTGCAGATGACAGATCATGAACAGGGAGATGGACCTGCTGCACTTTCTCCACTGTCTCCTGGCACCTCGAACCATCCATGCAGGATATGCTGAGAGACAGAGAAGATGAAGAGAACCGTCCTCCTTCACCACCACGAGACCTATCGGACAGTGACCGTCTCGGACAGGTGTGTTGAATTTTTATCCTGCATTTTGTTTGACCCATCATCACCAGAATGTACAAAAATTCTTTAATGCAACTCAATTGGTATTGATACATGCTGTAATATAAACTTTTCTTTCATTTAGAAGTATCAAATTGTTGCCTTTTTGCTAATAGCCTCTTTCAACAAGTGAAAAATAAATTTATAATTCGAAGTAGCTGCAAAAGAATTTTGGCCACTACTTCCGCCAATGGTAAATTTTATATTGAAAATAAACTTGGTCGTAACGTTGTAACTAAAATAGGGGTAGCTTTTATCAGGAGGATACAAAACCAAGACACTGTCCGTGGTCATAAAATTAGAAATATATTACTATCTAGAACTTTTTTGAAATTATTATTTGTCAGTGTATTTTCTCTTTCATTGGCTGTGGAGTTCTAGCTTTCATTTAGGATAAGTTTTGAATAGATGATTTATAGTCAAAACCAACTTAATCATGTTTACCAAGAATTTAAAAAACCAGCACGTCTATTTTTTTTTATTTTTTCTTGAGAAATGATTGTGACTTTCAAAGGGCACAGCATAAACCAAAATGGTGATATGTTACTTACTGTTAGTTGTGCTGATTATTCTTTAATCAGGTGTATTAAGATTTTTGTCTGGTTTTCAGGAAGATGGGCATCTCTCTGGAAATGTGACTTTTGAGAATTTTGAAGTTGGATCTCAGGTAAATATTCCGCTACAGTATTACTTTTTTATTTCATCAGCAGTGGGCGAGCGAAAGCCACTAAAAATTAGCACATTTGCTGGTCGTTGGCCAGCATTGTAGGGCTTTTCTATGGGTGCAAATCAATTAGTGCCTCTGTACTCTGTAATGGCACGAAAGACGTTAACACCCCAGGAAGGGTGTTGATTCCTACCTTTGTTTTTCCAGTGTACGTTTGTTGATCAGATTACAATCGGCATGCGTTTGATATTTTGTTTAAAATGGACTGAAGTTCATCGGCACAGGAGCAGCAGCGAGGCTACGCCGAGAATCACGTTCTCCTTACTGACAGATTTTTTTCTGCGCGAAAAAAAAAAGAATTAGCTAAATTAGCTAATGCATTCGCTAATATGGCCTTAGATTAGAATATTAGCTTTCCTAGCTAATTCCCAGCTAAGAAAGCTAAAATATTAGCTTTCACAGCTAGTTGCTTTATTTTGTACACAACTGTCGTGGCTAATTTTTTAGCTCTCCTTGCTAAGAATTAGATAGGAGAGAGAATATTCTAACTCTTGACCCCTGCCGCGTTTCGCGTCGAAAATGCTGTTTTATCTAGATAAATAACTCCTCAGAGCATACAAAAATAAGTATAACAAAAAGCATTTAACGTACACATACTTGTTTCCAAGACCATTCACAGTGATACCCTTGTGAAAACGAACAGCTCCAAAAGACATCCGAAGCGGACTTGCTCCGTTTTTACTCCGACTAATGTGTTTCGGACAGTTTCGGATGGCTCCATTTATGTTCCGAAACGTTTGAAATTCGGATGTTAAACGGAGCAGTCCGACTTCAGTCCGAATCGGACAGTCCGATTGGCGCCCGAGACCTCCCGTCGGACTGTCCGATTGACGCCCGGTGCCTCTTGTCGGACTGTCCGATTGGCGCCCGGTCAGAGGG